CGGCCGCGCGGGCTCATCCTCGCACCGCGCCGACGCCGACGCGCGCCCCGGCCGACGCGATGGCCGCGATAATATTGCCAGCAAGTGCTCAATTTAGCCTCGTCGTCGCCGTCGCCGATCCCGGACTCGGAGGGGAAGGCGCGTTCCGTAGCTGGTAAGTGCACGTCCACGTACCGACTGTATTGGCATTGGTATTGGTAGTGGAGGAGTGGCATGGGAGTCGGAAGCCGCCGAACATTCTTCTGTCGTCGATGCCAGGGTGGATCACGGGGCACCGAGACGGGAGTGAGGCGGGACATTGCCAGCAGGCAAAGTGCTGTACATGCATATGTGTGGGACGCGGGCGTGGGGTGCCGGGGCGATCCCAGGCCCGAAGATGCACACGGCGCAAGACGGTGGACACGCGCAAACGTGAATCTGACAGGCTCGGAATCCCGATGCCGAGTGCTGGTTCTTGATTCGCTGTCAGTGCTGCCTGCTTCGGTGGACGGTGGACCTGTGTCGTGCTTAGTGCTCACCGCTTCGTGTTTGGTGCTAGCATCGCATATGGACGTCTATCGCGGTCGACTATCGTGCATTTGCAAGTCTGCCATCTACCATCTATCAACGAGCGAGTCCGATGACGGACCTCGCTAGTCTATAGGCGCGAATGTGTGGCGGCTAGAGGCTAGTCGTTTTCCGGAGGCGCCTGAGCGCGGGCGTGACGTTTTCCAGGCTGGAAGGTGCGGGAAAGATCACTGCCTTTGCGCTCTCCTTATAAGCCCCGAGGGTGGAGCGGCACTCGGTATAGCTGTTCCCCGCTCGACCTGACTTGACTTTCGCGTTCTTGCCCTTCTCCTCGCTCCTCTCGACCTCCGACTCGACTTGACCTTCGCCGCGATGTCTTACAACAACGATAACAACAACGATTCGTACGGGAGCGGCAGGCGCGATCGCGACAACGACAACTCGTACGGGTCGTCTAACAACGATTCGTACGGGTCGTCGGGCAACAACAACAACTCGTATGGTTCCGGCAACAACGACAACTCGTACGGCTCGTCCAACAACGACTCGTATGGCTCGAACAACAACGACTCGTACGGCTCGTCGAACAAGCGCGGCGGGGACCGCGATAACGACAACAGCAACTCGTACGGCTCGTCGAACAACGATTCGTATGGGTCGTCGAACACCGACAACTCGTACGGCTCGTCCAACAAGCGCGACAACGACCGCGACAACAGCAACTCGTATGGGTCTTCGAACAACGACTCTTACGGCTCGTCGAACAACGACTCGTATGGTTCCAACAGGAAGAACGACTCGTACGGCTCGTCGAACAATGATTCTTACGGGTCCTCGAACAACGACTCGTACGGGTCCTCGAACAAGCGCGATAACGACAACAGCAACTCGTACGGGTCGGGCAACAACAACAACAACGACGACTCGTATGGCTCGTCGAACAAGCGCGATAACGACAGCAACAGCAACTCGTACGGGTCGTCGAACAACGATTCCTACGGCTCGTCGAACAACGACTCGTACGGTTCCACCAAGAAGAACGACTCGTACGGGTCTTCGAACAACGACAGCTACGGCTCGTCTAACAACGACAGCTACGGCTCCAACAACAAGAGCGACTCGTACGGGTCCTCGAACAACGACTCGTATGGCTCGTCCAACAACAACAACAGCGACTCGTACGGCTCGTCGAACAAGACCTCGGGCAACGACGACTTCATCACGCGCGGCGTCAGCTCCGTCGCGCAGAAGGCCGGGTACAACCTCGTGCGTCTCTTCCTTCCTTCCTTCCTTCCTCCCTCCCGCTCTTCCCCGCTCTTCCGCGCGCGTTCGTCGTCTGTGATTTGATGCTGACATGGTGCGTGATGCAGGATGAGAACACGGCGAGCAAGATCGGCGAGGGCATCCGCGAGGGGCTGTCCAAGTTCGGCGGTGGTGCGTCTGCTTTCTCTCACTTCTACCTTCGTTCTTTCTTCCTCTGCGCCCGTTCGCGCGGTGGTGGTTGCTTTCGGCGTCATGGCATTCACCTTTCTACAGTGCGTCTGCTCTATATTCGATGCTGACGTGCACTTCTCTCTAGGCTTCTAATCTGCGTTTGTTGTCCGTTTTGGTTGCTGGATCGTTGTAGGGGATAAGGCGAAAGGAAGATTCGAATTGTAGGCTGTAGGGGGTGACAATAAGGGAAGAATATAACTTCGTGATGAACTTCAGTGCTCGGCGTATCCATATCTATGTCTGCGTCCGTATCCGCGCGTCAGTTGAATGGTTACCAGCAATGGACCACTCGGAAGGCGAGTTGTAACTGCAACAGTCATGCAATATCGCGAAGTCCGGAGACTGAGTTGCGAATTGCGAACGATAACAAACTCGGGGGCTATAGAACTGCTACACTTACAAGTTCGCAGGTTCGTACATTGCCTACTTCGTCCAGCGCAAGCGTTCGTCGCGTGGGCGCCGATCGACTGGTACTAGGATTACCGGGTTCGGAGCATGGGCAGGATGAGGAATGATGTGGAGAAGGCATGCACGCACGTATATGTACTGTGACATTCCGGATATGGGTGCGGATGCAGACCAATATAGTATCCCTCGCTCCGAATCCGGGTCCTGGACCTCGGAAAGGGCTATGCGGTATGCTTACTGGCGATTACCTGTATGCACAAGGTCAGCTGCGACTGGCGGCGAGGGGCTCTCCGTGAGCAGTAAATTCCCACCGCAGTCCATATATGCGCCTAGTATCCTTTATTCTTAGGCTGGAAGAGACAGCAAATAACTTTACTCTGTGACTGCGAACGTGCACGCACGATCATAATCCTGCGGCTGGGGTTTCAATTTGCATGCCAGCGGTGGATCACCAGGGCCTTCGCCCCGGGCCCTGATGAGGTGCGATGGCACTCATCTGAACCCGTCTGCCGGTGACGCGCCGGCTCATGCTCGAATGCCAGATGATGGACACCAGCCTCCAGTGGCTAGTGACGCCGCAATCCGTGGGTGGAGCCCTCGACTTGGATTTGCACACCCAATACCGGGGATGGATGATGCGAATGCTGTGACTGGGGATGCAAACATTGGAATTCGGCCGGCCAGAGGTGAGGAGAGAGAGAGCCTGCTGGAATACGTGACGTGACGGCTGTTAGGTACGTAGTCCAGAGCGTATAGTCACTAGCCAATCGTGTGGCCATGTATGGGAAGCCCCCCAGGTTCCAGGGTGTCGGGGAGTGTTGTCGAAGCAGGGAGTTCGCGATCGTGTAGGCGCGTATTTAGGCGTATTTATATGCACATATGTTTGCGCACGCCGTCGCGATCGTATATACATACCTAGTATCTTGACCTTACTCTCCAGCCAGCAGCTATCGGCGGAAGCAGCCTGCATGGCCGCCCGATGGGACACGATTTCGAGTCCAGGTTCCAAGGGTCCAACGAAGTCTCGCCTGGCTCTGCTGTCAGTCAAAACCTGCCAGCCCACTCGCATAACATAATCATACACCGTTATACATTTCCGTCAGTTACTTTACCTCTTCTATCTTCATTTCCTGCACCACACTACCCTTAGGCCCTCCTCCTACCTCGTCAATCAGCCTACTTGGCATCCGCCACGGCCCCACACGCCGCACAGCGCCTGCGCTCGGGGTCCTCCTGCCACGCACGGATGAGCGGCTTGAGCTGCGTGCCGAGGTCTGTGACGTGAAAGGCCTCTTCGCGGACGATCGTGGGCTTCGGGTGTGCGCCGGCGCGGCAGTACCAGCGCAGGCGGTCTGGTGGGTGGCAAATGGGGGTATGCGGTACAGGGGCGAAAGGTGAGCGGTGAAGCCCAGGGCAGCGTGCAGCGAGGGAAGAGGCGAGGCGAGGGACGGAGCGGAAAAGAAAAGACAGAATATGAGCGTCAGAATGAAGCATGTCAGAGCAGGACGAATATCGCAACCCGACCCCGCGCCCGGCCAGAAGATGGTCAGATGTGGGAGCGGGCGCACGACAGCGGGAAAGGAAGAGGACATTTAGAGAGAAGACGCACCGATTGCCTCAGCAGGCCGCACGCGCTCGACGACGAGCCCGATCGTGTCCGCGAAGCGCACGGGGTTGTGAGGCGTGTTGCCTGTGCGAAGGTTCGGAGGTCAGGCTTGCCAATGGAAAAGCGCACACGCGAGACGCACCGGGCAGCATGAACATCTCGCCCTCGCCGATGTGGATGTCGCGGAACTCGTCCCCGTCGACGACGCTCAGGAGCATCGCGCCTTTGTGTTGGTAAAACCATTCCTGTCGGCAGGCGTCGTCAGCACGCCGCTCTCAGCTCTTGCTCCTTGCCCGCTCCCGTTTCCGTCCCTGCGCAGGTAGAAGAGAGCGAACCGGCGCTGCGGGGTACAGGGACAAGAGATAAACAGGAGGATGAGAAAGCGCACGCACCTCCGTTTCGTTGACATGGTAGTCGTTCCGCTCATTCGGGCCCCCCACCGCCATCACGATGAAGTCCGTGCCCGCGTACAGGCAGAAGTTGTTCACGGGTGGCTGCAGGAGGTGCCCGTTCTCGGAGAGCCATTTCGGGAAGTTGAGTGGGGGCGCGAGCGGCATGGTGCTTCGAGTTGGAGCGGATTCAAATCAGACTGGGACGACGGATGAGAATGAGGCGGGGAAGAAAGATGAGGGATGTTGCAGATGCTGACTATTTCAGCGCTGGGGGCTGGATGAATAAGACCGCTTGCTGGTGGGGTGACTCCTAGGCCTGGAATTTCTAAAACACAGGTAAGAAGAGCAGTCAATCCCGGCACTTCAGTGCATGTGCTTATCGACGTGCACCCTGCGCACCTACCGTACACACCGCGTACTTCTGTTACTGTACCGTGAGTAGGATCGCAGTCGGACGGAGGCGATTACATTTCTAAGACTCGGGGGAGCGGAAGCACTTCACCGGGACTCCTCGCGGCGCGCCTGGGCCGGTGCACGTGCTCGCAATGCAAGTATTGACATCATATGGCAAGGTACACAGCTCTACCACCATCTCCCGCTTAGCTCAGTTGGTAGAGCGCGTCACTAGTATCTATGAGAAGCTTATGACGAGGTCAGTCGTTCAAGTCGGCTAGTGGGAATATCATGCTGCAGAGGCAGTGTTTTTTTTTTTGGCTTTTGCTGGAGTTGGGATATATTCAGTTGTCCCAACTCTGGCCACTGCAAATTATTTGAAAGTATATGTTGATGCATCTGCACGCGCAAGCCACTGCGATACGTATACGCGTCCAACGACAGCGAGACATCTGATCACAAGCATAAGCACCAGCCAAAATGTGATACACGCACTACTACTCCCACTCCTCAATCCCATCCTCCTCCAGCCACCCCCCAGTACTCTCCACCCCGTCCCCCCCGCCCACGCCCCCACCAACCCCCTCAAGCCCTCTCTCCATCTCCTCCACCAGCCCGCCCACAGCCCCCTCCCCCTCCTCCGCCACCTCGCCCTCCGCGCCGCCCCCCGCGCCGCCCCACGGCATCGCGCTCCACACACGATGGCCCGCGCCCAACCCACTGCCCCCTCCCATTCCCATTCCCACACCTAACCCCGCGCCCCCCACGCGCAGGATCCCCCCAAGCTCGCACGCAGCCTCGGCGCGCGCCCACCGCTCGCCGCGCCGCGCGAACCACGCGAGCGTGTCCCCGAGCGCCGCATCTGCGTCGCGCGCGGCGGCGAGCGCGCCGAAGAAGGCGGGCTTGTATGTTTTTTGCGCGCGCCGCGGGACGGGCGAGGGGAGTGCGTGTAGCGTGGAGAGCGCGGTGAGGTGGAAGGTGTGCGGGTTCGTTTGGTACCACTGTCGTTGGCGTCGGCGTTAGCATCAGTGGGTGTGGGAGGGAGGGGGGAGGAGAAGCAGGTGGAGGGGAAGGGGAGGGTACGCACCGCTTCGCCGCCATTCGCGTCGCACCAGCTCAGCGCGTCCGCGATGCCCGCGCACTGCTCCATCTCGTCGCAGAACTGCGTGTAGTTCTGGTGCACGTACAGCCCGAAGAGCGACGCGTCGATCGGCGTCGCGGCGTACAGCGCCTGCATACACGCGTCAGCGTCAGCACACGGCACCAAACTTTACAACAAGGAGGATGGCAGGGAAATGTATTAGAAGGTAGGGGAGAGGGAGCACGTACGTCCACATCGACGCGACTCGGGGCGCGCGCCTCGGCTGCTGCCCATGGCGGGACGGGCGGCTCCGAGCGCAGTGTCGCGTCGAGCGCGCGGTCGCGCTCGATCTCCTTCCGGGTCGCGTTGGATCCGGGCGGGTCGCCTTTGCCTGCACATTCGTGTATCCGCCCCCGTCAGCAATCCAGCTACCTTCCAAGTGCCGGATGTCCGATACTTACGTTTGTTATAGAGCACTTTCCCAAGCAGATGAAAGAGCGCCAGCGCGCCCTCTTTGCGCGTTGCGGCCTCCATCGCTGCCCTGAGGCCCGTCAGAGCCTTAAACTCGCAGAGTGAAGGAAGGTGAATGTTCACTAACCCCTCCTTCCCCCGCTTCCCTTTGTCCTTGTCCTTGCGCCCAATCCGCGCACACGCAAACTCAAGCCCCATAACCGCACTCCTGATATCCCCATTCGCGCCCTCAATCACCGTCTGCATGATGTGCGGCGGCACATGCGTGCTGGATTTGACGCGTGCGAGGAGCGCTTTGAGCGCAGGGGTCATGTAGGTCGGCGCGATGGGGTTAAAGCTGCAGTGTCATTCGGCGAAAATATAAGGATGCGAACAAGGAGGAGAATCGTAAAATAAAGGGACAGGGAAAGGGACGTACGCGATTTGCGTTACCCATGCTGCACCAACGCCCTCTGGGACGACGTTCCGCGCATCGACGACCTCTTCTCGCCGGCCGGCGCGGCCCCACCCCGTCGTGCCCTCGCCATCATCGTTGCCCTCGCCGCGCAGCCCCGCATCGCTAACTATGACTACAACAGGCGGTAAGCCTACACGCGGCGACATTATATGTGTGCGCAGAGCGTTGTGGAATCGTGCGCGGGTAGGCGCGTGTAAGATGTTTGGTAGATCCTCAAGGAGGATAAGGTGTTTCGGCTGCGGTTGAGCGGTCGGTTTCTGGGACGATGTCGCGCTACTGGAGGGTGCGGACGCCGACGCAGGTGTGGAAGGTGCAAATATCGTGCGGTACGACCCCGCACGCCCAAGAAATGATTCGAACTTATCCATCGTGCTTTCGTATGAGTCTGTGGCCCGCGTTTCACGTCACAGCGCGTCGCGCGTCAGAATACCAGAGGGGGACGCACCCCAGTCGTTGTCATCATCGTTGATGTGAATGTTACTGTTCCCCGACGCGTCGAGCTCGGACGCCAAGGCGCCTGTGCTGGACGCGTTGCGCCACTCGATGATGTCGATCCCCATTTCGCGCGCGAGGACGCGGACTGTGGCTGTCTTTCCTGAGCCAGCGGGGCCTATGAGCACGAGCAGGCGCTGGATGCGTCTGTCTTTTCAGGATCGCGAATACCACAAATATGAGGAGGTGGGACATACGCGGTACTTGGAGAGCTTGCCCGCATCGAGCGCCTCGCCCAGCCAGCCCCGCACATCTGCCACCTTTCGCTTGTGTACTGCGAGCTCGGACTCTGTCCGCGGTTCGAAGATATCCACCCATAATCGGCCGTCTGTCATCACGCATCGGTGTTCAGCACGACGCCACCCGATTGCAGTTGCGGAACGCGGACGCACCTGTGTCTAGAGGTTGAATGGGAGCCTTCGCTTTGCCCTTGCCCTTCACATCCTTCTCCTTCTTTTTCTGCGATTCATTGGGTCTCTGATGGCCCAAGCTCGCTGCAGTCAACTTCAGCAGCCCCTTCTGCTTCTGCGTCTGTGTCTGCGTCTGTGACAGGCTCGCGCGGCTCTGGCTTTGGCTCGGATTCGGCGCAGGACTCAACGCACGCTCGGATTCCTGCGACCCAAAACTAAAATCAAACACAGGTGGGCCCGACAACTGTGCATAGTCGCGTCAGGAGCGAATTACGCGTAGAAGCAAAGACAAAGACGGACGCACAGGCTTGACGGTCTTCTGCTTCTTGGCGGGCGGCGCCGCGTCAGCCTTGAGTGTGCTCTGACGCGTAGACCGTCGGGTCGTGGTGGGCACTTTTTTGGGCGGCATTATGTGCGCGACGTGCAAGGGAACGAAGGATGGTAGTGCTACGGACACCGCGACGCGTCGAGACTCGACAGGAGGGAAAGTGGTTCACACCACGTGACTCTTTAGTATACGCGTAGAAGTCGCGTAGATCGCTGCCGCCGCATCGCCCGCTGGTGACCATGTGCACATCCCCTGCCGCAGACTGACAAAAAACTTGCGAAAACGGAGATGTGCAAAACAGAGTCCCAACTTCGTTCGTGACTCGACTCAGGTTCGAACTGAGGACCGACTGTGGTCCATATTTAAATGTAAGACAGTCGTGATAACCAACTACACCATCGAGTCGTGGAAGAGGAGACAATGCAACGGCCAAGATTCTGAGATGACGGAACAGACTAGCCAGCTCTAGCTTTTGAAGCTCTCGAATATCTTGCATTACAGTGTGTTATTTCCAGGGTTCATGGAAAGCGGTGAGTGACTTACGCTACTCACCCGAGTTGCTCAATGTCATCATAGCATCAACCAACCGCCGGACTTCAATGCACACGATCGATGCACCGGTACCGATATGTTCTGCCACGCCTAAGTATCGTGAGCTGCATCTCTTCGTCTTTCCTCGGGCCCAGCGTTGGCGTAGACATGGAAGTCGATCCCGCCTCACTCACCTAGCAGGTAAACTTCCTACGGGATTGGCTGCACTACGCCCCGCAGCCGGCACTGTGTTCACCGCTCGGACGATCCGGTCCCGAGCTCGTAGTGTTCGATAACCGGCGACAGACGAACCTCAGCTAGACGCTGCGGCGCCAGTATGCCGAGCTCTGGAAGAGCACGCTTACGCTGGACTTAGGCGCCGTGCGGGTGGTCATGTCGCATCGCAGACGCATACTTTTGGCGCCGTCCATGGGGATGATCTGGTGTGATCACTGCGTCGTTGGGAGGCGCCGGACGGGCCATACCTGAAGGAGAATGTACAGAAATTCGTGCAGTACCAATTGGGTCCGGAGACAGTGGAGTCTTTTAAACGGGCTCCAGCAATTGCTAGAGATATTGGGGTGATGAATTTGTGAGTTTACACCTTTCTGGAACACGGTGTACCCCTGTGCAGTTTCTTGACGTAGCAGAAGTATGTCTGCTAGTTCCTCGTGTAAGCGCGCTATTATCACGGTTAAGACGCCTGATCAATTGAACCGCTGCACGCGAAAGTCTCCAGATCATCGTCTGTTCCATCTGGAGACGTTCAAATAACCCGCCTTACAGTACAAATAACTCATCTGTAAGAAGACCTCCGAGTCGGAAGGGATGCGCTGCTGCTCTATGGGCTGCAGTGCAGTTCATGAAGGCGGCATCTGCATAAATCCCCGGACGTCGTGACCAAGCAGCTCACGGGAGTAGGTGGAGGACCAATACGGAGCGGCCGCTTCGCTTGCGCTCCTGCTCGTCGACGGGCCTCGAGATTCGAGGTGACTAGGTCATCTCCTCATACTGTTATTACTTACATGTGTTCATCTTGCTAATCTCTTTCCCTGCTGTTCTTTCTGGCCACCAAGCCCTCGCTGAATCAGCCCGCCCATTCATTCACGGAACTATGCTGTGGATCCTTTCTTGACAGCAGCTTGGTGAGCTCGCCTCGCGTCATTGATTCGCAATGCCGTCTGCCGGACAGCAGCGACCATCGAAGCTATAAAGCCTCAGAGGAGACGGCCAGGCCAGCATCAACATCATACCTGCTCTGTGTTCTTCGAATCACTCATTGAACTGCGCCCAACGATGTCCCATATCCCCCTCCTCATCAACGAAGGTGTACCCAACATCTCATATTTCACCCCAGAACAGTCGCCGGCATCTGGGACGGCTGTCGACCCGCAACCAAATGGCCAGCCCATCCCGCAGCTCTTTCAACCTCTCCGCATCCGCGGCGTCGAGTTCCAGAATCGTATCTTCGTACGTTTTATTCTACATTTGTGTTCCAAACAATTTAAACTGACCATGAAATGCATCTTGGCAGCTGGCACCCCTTTGCCAGTACTCTGCAACCGATGGTGTTGTAAGTCCCTGGCACCTCGCGCATCGTAAGCCGCACACTTCCTGTGTCCGTTCTGACACTGACCGCTCCCCTCAGTTGGTGGCATCTTCACTCGCGGACCCGGGCTTTCCTTCACGGAGGCCACCGCCGTCTCCCCCGAGGGCCGCATCAGCCCCGAGGACGCTGGTCTCTGGAATGCAGCCCAGGAAGCGGCGTGGCGTCAGATTGTCGAATTTGCGCATGCGCAAGGGCAGAAGATGGGCATCCAGCTCGCGCACGCCGGGCGCAAGGCATCGACGCTCGCTCCGTGGGTCAGCCGCGGGCTGCTCGCCAAGCACGAAGCGGGCGGCTGGCCCGACGACGTCTGGGGGCCCTCGCCAATTCCGTGGTCCGAGACGTTCCCAAAGCCGAAGGAGCTCACGACCGCCGGTATACGCAGGATCGTCGCTGCGTTCGCTGCCGCTGCGAGGCGCGCAGTCCGGGCCGGCTTCGATGTCATCGAAATCCACACCGCACATGGGTTCTTGCTGCACTCGTTCCTCAGTCCTGTGAGCAACAAGCGCACGGACGAGTATGGAGGGAGCTTTGAGAACCGCGCGAGGCTGACGCTCGAAGTGGTCGACGCGATCCGCGCGAACATCCCGACTGACATGCCTCTGTTCCTCCGGTTCGCCCTGCCCCACCTTTCTTTATATGAGACACATGCTAACTCACGCGATGGCAGCATTTCTGCAACTGACTGGCTGGAGGAAATCATGCCCGACGAGCCGTCCTGGCGCTTGGAGGATACCGTGCGCCTTACGGGCTATCTCGCGAAGCACGGCGTCGATCTCCTGGACGTGTCGTCCGGCGGTACCCACCCCGCACAGAGAATCGGGCCAACGGACGCGCACCAAGTCCCCTTCTCTGAGGCTGTGAAGAAGGCCCACGGTGACAAGATTTTGGTCGGCGCCGTGGGCGGCATCAAGACGGGCACCCGCGCTCAGCAGATCCTGCAGGCGGGCCAGGCGGACGTCGCTTTCGCGGGACGCATGTTCCAGAAGAACCCCGGGCTTGTGTGGAGCTTTGCGGAGGATCTCGGAGTCGAGATAAATAAGGCGCTGCAGATCGAGTGGGTCTTCCATGGGCAGCGGCTGAGGCAGGGTACGACGGGTGGTAAATCTGCTTAGACATGGTTTACATCTACAGGATTGGAGTTTTTGACCTTCTTAGATGCGGTGATGTGTATCTAGTGGCCTAGGGCATATTCAATTATGAATTTATCAAGCCCCCTTTGCGGAAAAGTGTGGATCCCTAGAGCTGATGCAGGCAACTGATTTTTATAGTCTATCACTAAGTCCCAGCAACAAAAGCATTGAAATTATAGTTCTCGACCTCGTTCCCGTTCCTCGACCCGAAACGCATTCCCTCCGGTTGGAACGCCAGCACCTTAGTTTCCGCACGCCATATCTCCGCCCCCATAGCACACCTCCCGTCCGCAGAAACATCCGCCCCAGGGTCGATCAGCGCAAGCTTTACCTGCGAGACACCCTGCGGGAGCAGCTGCGTCTCGTTCTGCGTCGGCCCCGGGGTGCAGTACAATGTCACGTTCGCCGGGGCTGTCAAGAAGATTACAGCCCAGAGGTAATCTTCAGTCTTTCGGAGAGAGGTAGTCAGAAATGATCGTATGGATTGGGGTGAAGGTGGAACGCACCCATTCCCAATTTCTCGGTTTGCCAACTCCGTCCTTGGACGCGTTCGCGTTCGCCGGGTCCAGCCTCGCCCACAGAAACACATGATCCTCATGGACGTCGGGATACGTCCCCGTCTTAAATGCAGCGATGTAATACTCCATCATCTTCAGCCACGCTAATTAGAGTATCAGCCTCGCGTCAACAAATCGCAAAAAATCCGAGGCACGCGACGCACCGGTGTGCTCAAAACCGTTTGTCCACGCCTCACTTCCCGCCGGCAACGCGCCCTCTATAGGGCCCACGTAATGCGACTCCCCATAGTCGTTCCACGACACGATCTGCACAATGTCCACTTGATCGCGGTGCGCGATAAGTATATCCCACCGTGCGGCGAGCAGCCACTCGTCGCCACGGTAGATCCAGTTCTTGTTGTATGTGTTCTGGCCAAAATGCTGCCAAGGAAACATGTTAATGAAATAAACTGACAGGAAATGTGACGAAGACGCACGGTGAAAAACCACGGCGAGACGGGCGCCATGTACGCCTTCTGCTTCCCGGAGACATTCAGCGCACTGCGCCACGCAGCGTCAGGATCCCAGGTGACATTGAACTTCCCCGTCGGCCACGCTGCATTCCACTACCCAATATTCAGTCCCCCTTAATCACAGCAATGCCGCCTCGAAGAAGATCGGACGCACATTAAATCCCCCGTTGACCGCATCCCACCCCGCCCAACTCCGCACGTCCCCGAAAAACGCAGGCACGAACCACGCGCCCGAGCCCTTCGCCACCCGCGCCCACCCCGCCTGCCCAAACGCGCACGCGTCGCCCGCGAACGTGCTCAACACCGCCCTCCCGGTCCCGTTGTGCAGCAGCTGGGCCGGATGCGCGGCGTACCGCTCGACGAGCGCCTGCAGCGCCGCGACGTCTGCGTCCGAGGCGCACGGGAGGGAGGACATATCGAGCGAGAGGAAGAGCTTGAACGGTATAGGCTTGGCTGTGCAAGAGTGTGCATCCGAATCTGGGACTGTTGCGTTGGAGAATGCGTTGGTGGACACCAAACCGGCTTCGACGCTAATGCAGGGCGCGGTGCTATTCGCGCATGCATTTCCACCCTCTGAACTCGGAGTATCCGTGGGTGTAGTGTTGTTCGCGGTGTTATCTGCGAGGCCCCACGGCCCGTGCGACAGCTCGAGCGCGGCTGCATACGCATCGTCCAAGCGCTGCCGCTGCCAGTCGTCCCGCCCGAAATTCAGCGCGAACGCATCGATGCCGTGGTTCGCCGCCAGCACCATATCTACGTAGCATGTCCTTCAATACGAAACACGAGTAAGCAAATCAGAGTAATGGAGATACACGCACCGCGTTTCCAATCCTCCATCGTATACGGGTACGTATTGCCCACCATAAAATGCGCCACGACCACCTTCGCCTGTGCGGCGTTTACATCCGGCACGGTATCATTCTGCGACTCCGGGCCGAACGCGACCTGCGGCCCCCCGCCATTCTGGAGCCCCTGCAGCGAGCGCAAGGCCGACGCCGTCGCACCCTTGTAGTAGATCCACCCGAAGAGGAGCACCATGCCGAAGGTGACGAACGCCATGACGATGTAGGGCAGTGGAGCCTTGCGAGTTTTGGGGAGGCAGGAG